AGCTATGAATTATCATCATTCACAGCCCGTAATGAGTCTCAACCAGTTATAAATAGTCCCATGGAAATCTGCCAAAGTCCTTTGGGAGAAGTCTGATAAGAACGCACCTTTATCTTTCCTGAAGTGTTACCAATGACTATAAGTACCAATTAGTCTTTGAAAACCAAACAGAGCACAAATTCACCACATAGCTTTCAGGTTCCAAACTGACCAGAGCGAATAACGTTGCTTCCTGCAAAGGTTCCTGTCCCTTTGCACTTCCTTTGTATTTTATGGGAGGGGGCAATCACCTCCAAGTCTTACTCCTGAGTAGCCCCTTTTGTCTTAACTGCTCTTGCCTTCTGGCAGCTCTGCGCACGCGCACACTGGGAACAGGCTCCCTTTGTTCCTCTGCCTCGCTGCTGTCAGATTCTGGAGGCCCTGGAGTCAGCACATAACTCCCAGATGGCCCTGGCCCCATCTCTGTATCAGACACAGGACCCTCACCTGAGTCCTCCCCAGACTCCCGGACTTGCCCATGTTCTTCCCCACTGTCTGATTCTGCTACTGTCTCTGCAGGCTGCCAGCAGACCACAACATTACCTTCCTGGGCAAAGTAATCAAAAGGCTTGGTCTAAAATGTCTTCAGTACTTAGAAGCCTATCATCCCTCTGTCTCTCTCATCTATACATAGAGATGTTTAGGGGAAAGCACCATCACAAATGACATGTTGGGTAATGAGACTACTTATAGGGGCCTCTTCCACATTCATATTGTGATAAATTCCTTTCTTATTTAAAAATACTGCTTCAATTGTGGTGAGCATTGTTACTGTGGCAAGAAATCAACAGATTTGGACAATTTTTCAATGGCTGGTCTGGAATGGCACTGTATCCTCAATGAAAATGGACACTCAATTTGGCTATTTTTCCCCTCACACAGTTATTCTTATAGAATATTATCAGTCACTGTAGTTTATCTGAAGCATTGTCCTAACTAAAGAAGGTAGAAAGGAAGGACTTTAACTGTGAACTTGAATGTTTTTTCACTGCAATCCAGGTAAATTGTTTTGGGCAGTGTTACAGAAGTAATTTACTATCGCCAACTTCTGTCTTTCTATGTAGCCTACAGATGATTCCCCATCCAGGCTACATTTACATATTCCAAAATGTTCTTTGATTCTCCTTTGTGTGTCTGGAGGGGGAAAGAAAAACTATAGCCCCGCAGATATTTTTGAAGGGTGAACAGTATAATAGAAAGTATAATATAACTAGTGGGAAAAGTGGCTCAATTGTACAAAATCAGATGGTGTAATTGCTCTGCCAAAAGGTGAATAGGATAAGAATGGAGGCTATTTCAGCAATTACCTAATTAACCACCTGGATAAGAGGTGGCATATCACATCATGGAATTTTATACAGATACTTCTCTGCTCTGAGATTATTAGATAGACAATGAAACAATGACTTGGTCAAAACAATATTTATTCGGGATTTTTTAATTTAAAACCTCAGTTCTGAATAATGCCAAATCTATCTTGGTGAAGGAAAAGAATATATGACCAACCAGCAGCATATGAAAGCTTCATATGCATTGTGTTGTGTACTAATATCCTTTATTTTGTTATGCTTTGAAAATTCCCTGCAGAGTGTAGTGCTTAGCTGATGAGTTAGGACTTCCTGAAGGTCAAGGTGCTCTTGAATAATAGTGACATCTTCAAGAGAGCTGCTGTCAGTATCCTGTTTTATCTTCAGATCATATACACCTTTTGCCTTTTAGTAAAAAGGCTTACTGTCCAGCTACAGCAAAATATAGTTAATGCTGTAGGGAACAATTACCTACAAATTTATAGTGGCTCATATATTTCTGCAGCTATACAACTTACCTCTTGTATCTGGAATATTCATAAGACATTGTAACTGTGAGAATGAAGAGTGTGGTTCCTAATTTTTTATAATATAGGCATTCATGCAAATACTATAGAAGGAAGGAGGCTATACACTACTCTCTAAAACCATACAGTAAGCTTTGGCAAAGCATGATATCAATTAGTATAGTTCAGCACGTAGTCAGCCAGATACTCAGACCAGATTCAGCATTTTTATCTACCATTAAGTCCTTCCCATGGACTTGGGAGAGGCAGAGGTTGATGTTTTATAATATTAAAGGTATCGTTGCGGGATGTAAGCTGTTCCAAGTAAAGCTGCCTTTTGCAATTGATTGATGGTGATTTGTCAGTGCTGATCATGTTCAAGTGGTGCTCCAGTTGTTTTGGGATTGCATCCAAGGTGCCTATTATTATCAGTATTTCTTTGCTTTCTTTTGCCACAGTCATTCTATTTCTATTTGCAGATTTTTACTGTTGTTTTTGAACCCAGTCACTGCCTATTGACATTGGTGGCATGATGTCAATCCTTTTAAATCTTGAGTATGCCTTCTAAACATCAACCCCCTCTCAGCTTTGGGATATCTGCAAATTTGATAAGCATTTCTTCTGTCCCTTCCTACATGTTATTTATAAAAATATTGAAGAACACACTTTTGTTCTCATTTCATTTTATTTTCAAAAAGAAATTCATCCATTATCTAAAGTAGAATCACGGAGTTTTCTCCCAACCCATTGTCTTCCATTGCCAATATGGATATAACTTTACTGTCCTTTGATAGGTGTACTGGGAAAAATACTGAAGTACAGATTGATAGACTAGGTATAGCCTAGCCAACAAAATGCTGATGTGTTTCACTCTTAGGTAGTTAAAAGCAGGTGCACATATAGAAGATAGGAGATATCAGGTTTAGCAGCAGAATTTGAAAGAAATATCTGGGTGTTTACACATATCATAGATTAAGCATGAGTTAGAGTGTGCTCCTGTTACCAAAAGACCCAATGTAATCATGGGCTTCCTCAAAAGAAGTAGAAAATCAAGATTCTGGAAAGATACTGTTCTACTATATGCTGCACTAATTCATCCATACCTGGTGTACTGTGTCTAGTTTTGGTCACCACAATACTAGAAGAATGCTGAGGAACTGGAACAAATGCAACAACAATAGTGATGGGGAGTAAAGATCAAAGCCATCAAATAATTGTTCAAAAACTGGGTACATTTAACTTTAAAAAAAGGAAGGTCAAGGGGAGACATGTCTTCCAATACTTTGATTATTTATTAAATAAATGTACTTGCTATTCAGCTTTCCATTGAAACTCTGGCAAAGGGAGAAGGAATGAACAAAATATATAAATATGCAAAAAGGTTGCACAGGGAAGTGGTGTAGATTTATTCTTCATGGTGCCCAAAGATTGAACAAGAACCAGTGGGTGGAAGCATTACAGAGATTCAAGCTTCAGATAAGAAGGAATTTCCTGACTGTAAGAGCAGTAAAACATCTACCATCATTGGAGGTTTTGAAATAAAGGTTGGACAGTCCATTGTCTGGGATGGTCTGAGAATTCCTGTCCTGGGCAAACAGGTAAACTAGAAGACCTCCAAGATTCCTGTGATGCTATTATTTCCATTGGCTATATCTAGGATTATCAAGAAGAAGAACACAAGGGCAGTAATATTAATATTCCATTGAAAAAGCTGTACACTGTACTCAGATCTTAACTGCTAAATACATTGAGAAAAGGACCCATAAAATGTATTTGACACCTCGAATGAGCACTTGTATTAGACCATTTTAATGCACATTTTAGTTAAATGTTATTATTGCTATCTAGGAGATATATGAATTCCAGTTTCATTTATGTCTTTTGACCTCCTCTGTGTGTGATCTGCAGGTCTTCTTTTTGTCAATCTGAATCTCACTGAGTGTGGGATAAATGATTTTTCATGATCTACTTCATACCACCTACAATTATCAATTACAAGTCTGGATCTCCTATGGTTTTCTTGCTCAAAGGGGAAGTTGTTGGTATTAAATTTCCAGAATACTATTACACATTTTATCTTACCGCAGTTTTCAAGTGCTTCAAGAATACATGCATATTTGTTTTCCTATATATTCCATCCAATTGTATAGTTAATGCACTAAAATTGCCACTTTTTTTGTTTCTGTAAAATACATCTTCTATGCAACTGTACTGCATTCCTATTTTCAATGGTAATCATGCACAGATCTAATCAAGCTAGATATTTTTTATGTTCTAAAATGATTTTATGTACTAAAATGAAGCTACATTATGTGAGCTTACAAAGGTTGCTTACTGCTTAGGGAGAAAAGAATATTCAAAATGTTCAAGCAAAAATAACTTTTAAGAAAAGCATTGCTAGGCATTCAATGGGTATAACTGATCAGTTGTCACAGAATAATAAATCAAAATCTAAGAAGTGTGCACAATTTTCTCTCTATGCAAAGAAAATGCAGTTTTTTTAGCGATGTATGTTGGAATGATTCTCTAGTTGCCTTCAGCAAGAAACAACTTTGCTGTTTGTCCAAAGTCCTGGGAAGGTTTAGCTTTAATAGAATCACCATGAAGGGCAGAGGGAAAATCAGACTACAAATCTTACAACATGTTGATGACATCTTACGTTTTACAGATACAAATCTTACAACATGTTGATGACATCTTATGTTTTACAGATAAAATAAATCTATTTTATCTGTCTATCTTTAGATCTCATAGCTATATCTCTTCAATAGATATATATTGAATATATATAAAATGTATTAAAAACCCTAATTCAGGGAAGAGCCGGGGCAACTGGATGGAGCTGAGCATTTGTTGGCTGGATGCCCTTCCTGATGCCATGTGGAGTTTACAGCAGCTATTTTTCTTTGAGCCTTAGGAGAAAAAAAAACACATCTGCCACTACCTTGGATTGAACTTGCAAACTTCTGAGTGGGAGGCGAGTATCCTAACCGCTAGGTCACCATCCCACTCAAAAATCTATTAAAATAGATATAAATATATCTATTTATCTATTTATCTTTTTTAAAAGTATATTTCTAACCATTTGGCATTGATGCGAGAGTCTGGGTTCCTCTCTAGTCACTTTATAATTTGGAATAAATCAGACTGAATGAGATTGGACCATTGTAATAACTTAGGAAATAATAAGGATAGTGGCTTTATGATACATTCTAATTCCTTTATCTTCATAATAAGGATTCCCAGGAAGTTTTCTTATCTAGACAATTTAGATGTAACTCCTCTTTTGATGCAAATGAAAGAAGATTTCGACAGATGGTTTAGAACACCTTTGAGTATCTGCGGTAAGATGAATGTGATTAAGATCAATTGAACTCCAAGGTTGATTTACATTTTGAGATGCCTTTCCACTTTTATTTCAGCAAATCATTTTCAATGAATGAACAGGACACTCAATAAATTTCTTTGGCAAGGACATTTTGTGTATTTTCTGTTGCACAAGTAACCATTAACTGTTGAGAAAGGCGGGTTTAACATTCCATATTTTATGGGCATTTATCCTGGCTTTAATCACTGGAATTGCTGTAATAAGTAACTATGGAATCCTATTTCTCTTTGGGAGTCATTATTTGACCCCATTAAAATCCCTGCAAGTATTGTATGGAAAATAAATGATTGTGATTATAATTTTGATCCAATTACCCATGGAAAAACTTGCATTCTGGGATAATCTTAGTTTAAAAATACTGTAATACTAAATCTAGTATTAGAATGGGAATTAACTCCCTTCCAACTCTTTTATGATGAAGCTATTTTGAATTATTACTGAAGAATTAAATAGCCAGCTTCCTTTACTTTCTTTATTTGCTTAAATAACATTTATTTATTTAAATTCCATACAAGCTGAGTGTGTGCCCATGTGGACAAGGAACTATCAAAACTAAAGCTCATATCCTAGTATATTGTACTTTCTATAACAGGACTGTCAAACTCCCGGCCTGTGGGCTGGATGCATCATGTGCTGGCCACACCCATGCCCAGTTTAGCGAAGAGGAAAAAAATCCTGATACGCAGAGGTGGGTATTCAGCAGGTTCTGACCAGTTTTTGGAGAACCGGTAGCAGAAATTTTGAGTAGTTCAGAGAACCGGCAAATACCACCTCTGACTGGAGATTTTACAGTATCCTTCCCCTGCCACACCCACCAAGCCATGCCCACAGAACCGGTATTAAAAATTTTTTTAATCCCACCACTGCCAATATGTCATATGATACCCCCATGACAATGTGAGTTTGACATCCCTGTTCTATAAGAACTCATGGGCCTATTTCCTAACACCTCATCTGATAAAATACCCAGGAAACACCTATCTTTTTTTGTGCATGATTGCTGTTATCAGATCAGTCCAATGTCATCTCTTTGAATATAGCTAAATTTTGTTATACTATCTACAAAGTTAGGCAAATGTTGACTTTCCACTGATAACCCACCAGTAACTGTGATATATTATCACGTCTTTTATTTTATTTTTAAATGCTTTTTATTTAGTCTGGTCGGTGACCATAATAAACAATTACTTATTTATTTGTGATTCAGTTTATTTGGTCCACACCCTATTGTTGCTTCTGAAATTTGGCAGTAGTTATAGTTTGTTTGTTTGTTTTTTTAAAAAAACTATGGCTCCTAAGTCATGAACCCACTTTTTATGTAGAGTTGAAAGAAGAGGATTAAATTAGCATTAGTTTATTTATGTGATCTCTTGAATAGTAAGTGTCAATACCCTGCATTGATAAAGCAATGGAGAGTTTCTTCATTGGTGTAATTAATTTAAAATTTTAATTTGATCTTAAGTTAACACAATAAAATTGCTTTGTAGTTATCAGATTGGAAATGGTTAATAACAATAATTGGTTACAATTATATTTGTCTTGGAGCTGTTACCTCTGAAATTATTTGGGACAGACATCAACAAAATAGTTGATACGTTGCTCTTAACTGTGTCCTTGGAACCCGTGACTTATGAAAATAGCTAGAACTGTAGATCTGGAGGGCATGAAGTTTGAGTAAAATAAGAATCATATTACAGGGGATGGAGAAATCTGCTTCTGATCTATCATAAGGAATGACTTGATCCATCAACATTTGAATTCTTTTTTTTAAAGATTGGGGGGTAAGGAAAATGGTTAAATTTTGGGAGATTATTTTTATGGAAATAATTTCTCTAAGCCTTTTCTCCTCACCTCACCGTTTTTTGTAGCTGATTTTAGTTGCTTTACTTCATCAACACCACTGAATGTATCTGTAGGTTGATATTTGGCACAATGAAACATGACAAAAAGACCAAAAAAAGAAAAAAAAGAATCCCTCTTAAGCAAATAAGATTTTCTATGGTATTAGGATAAAACTAAAGAAGGAACAGTCAGAATCATTCCCAATATCTGAGGAATACAGTTTCTCTTCTCTTTCCATTGGAAAAAAAGCAGAAAACCTTAATATCTCTTAATTGTCAACTAGGCAAACAATGGGAAAACTTTGAATTATATGTTGTTTGGAGGAAAGGAGGAAGAAGAGGAAGGAGGAAGGTTAGAGAGGAATTAATCCAATTGGAAAAAATCCAGTAATTTATATGTGTTGTCACAAGGACCAACACTCCTTCTCAGTGCCATGTTTTACTTAGATCTACACCCTGTACACACATGTACAATTTATATTAGAATAACCAAAAAGCAAGATTCTCAGACTGCTGTTGATTTGGCTTTCATAGTACCATGAAATAGTTGATTTTATTCTGTTATTGTTCATGAAAACCAACTTTTTTTGGATAGTTAAGTTGCCAGGATTGTGTTATGAGTTTTCTTAGCTCTCTGACAACATCATGGCACTGTAAGTACAATGGGGACCAAGGCAAATTTTACCCAACATAGAGGTACATTATTTGCTCAATGTCTGCCAGATGCTGTACAAAATTTTATAGGCTCCTGAAATTATTTCTCGGCTACATTGGCAAAAATTGGACTTCTGTGTTTCACTGCACACAATCCAGAGAAAACAGTAGGAATTTAATGCTGTGAGACAAAGTTAACACAGCACAGTGGGAAAGAAGAAGAAAAAGAAGAAAAGAACCCTTCATATGTTGAAAACTTGTCACTAGGATTTCCAAAGGTAGAAAATCTATTGAATTGTATTTGCTTTTATCCATTCTCCAAATGCAGCTATATTGAATGTGAAAAGCCATAGGCAATGGCATCATGCGGAGCCAGACGATGCGAGCAACACAACCCTGCTGCTTTCTTGGTAAAAGAAAAGAGACGAATATTTTCAGCTAGTTAATGTTAAAGTCGAAAATTGTAAGTGCAATATATACTGCAATACTGAAATTCTGTCAGTGTACTTTTTGTATGCATGGAGTCAGTCTTCGGTTTATGATCACAATTGAGCCCAAAATTTCCGTTGCTAAACAAGATAGTTGTTAACTGAGTTTTGCCCCATTTTACAATCTTCCTTGCCATGATTGTTAAGTGGATCATTGCAGCTGTTAAGGCAGTAACATAGTTATTAAATGAATCAGCATTGCCAAAAAGGCATTAAGAATTGTAAATCTAATCTTACAAATGTTCTCTGGAAATATTGAATTGCTAACTGGGGCATACAAAACCTTTACTAGACCAATACTTGAATAAAGCTTATCTGTCTGGAATCTGCACTGTTAATCAGATATTAATACAATTGAGCGAGTCCAGAAGTATTTCACAAGAAGAGTATCACACTCCTCTGCTTGCAACAGAATACCCTATATCACCAGGCTTGAGATTTTGGGCTTGGACAACCTTGAACTATGCTGCCTATGGTTAGACTTAAGCATAGTACACAAAATTATCTGCTACAATGTCCTACCAGTCAATGACTACTTCAGCTTCAATCACAACAATATAAGAGCACACAACAGATACAAACTCAATGTAAACAGCTCCAAACTTGATTGCAGGAAGTATGACTTCAGCAACAGAGTAGATAATGCCTGGAATGCATCACCTGACTCTGTTGTTACATCCTCTAACCCCCACTCCTTTAACCTTAAACTATCCACTATTGACCTCACCCCATTCCTAAGAGGTCTGTGTTCTGACCCAACTGGGTCCCAGAGAGCAAACCCAGACAAAGGCAGCAGCCCCCACCTTTCAAGGTTTAATCACGAATTCTGTTCCTTTATAGATAAAAGGCTGCTTTCCAACAATTAGCTCTGACAAGAAAGAGCCTTGCCAAATTGTTTGTCAAGGCTGCCAAAAACCCAGAGATAAGAACTAATTTACAAGATTTTCCAAACACGAACTAAGATGTCCACCAGTTGAGCTTCAGAACTTCTTTGCTGTCTGCAAAGAACACTTTTCCAAACCTGGCTTTTATCCTCTGGGGGGGGGGCATTACCTTGCAGCCTTACTCCCAAGTCACCTGTGCTGCTGTAATTGTTCTTTCCTCCAAGCAATCCTTCTTGCATGTGCACTTGGCACAGGCTCCTCAGGAACCTCCTCATCACTGCTGCCAGCCCCCACAATCTCTAAAGGCAGCAGTCCACTCCCTGATGGTCCTGGCCCCTCATCAGAGTCCTCGCTCTCCTCAGCTATCTGCACCTGCTGCTGGCTAACCACAACAGTCTGTAAGGGGCGTGCATAAGTGCACAATCATACCTACTATCCCTGTCCTATTGTCCCCATTTATTCGTACCTATTTCGTGTATTCCTACTCATGTTTATACTTCTACCTATTATTTTGTAAGTGATTGACAAATCAAATAAACGAAATAAATAAAATAAATTTGGCTTCCTGATCAATTTTGCTTGCCTGAAAATTGCAAAAGGTGATCACAGGACACCAGGACATTGCAATCATAATAAATACATGCCAGTTGCCAATTGGTTGAATTTTGATCACGTGACCATGGAGATGCTGCAACAGTTATAAGTCACTTTTCTCCAGTTCCGTTGTAACTTTGAATGGTCAATAAATGGTTGTAGGTCAAGGACTACCTATAACCCTAAAGTATTAGCACTGAAAATGAAATACATTGCTTTCAGCAAATTGGTTCCTAACCAGAGATGGAAGAACAGTTATGTTCTTCATTAAACTGTGCTTAGGTTTGCTGAATTTCTCTGATAAACATGAGACCATATAAAATAA